CCCACCACCCCCACCCCCCATCCCCACTCATTCGAGTTAGCAAGATGAAAAGGAGCTGCAACAGCTCTATTGACTTCTTTTCTTCCAGCGGAACAAACAACTGTTGTGTTGCGCTAGCAGTGGACCAAATGAAGTCACAAACAGCGAGAGGGAGGGAGAGAGAGAGACAGAGAGAGAGAGAGAGAGAGAGAGAGAGAGAGAGAGAGAGAGAGAGAGGATAGAGGTAGTGGGAGAAGAATCAGTGCCCTCGCAATTCCTCTCACTCCCACCAAAATTAACATACCGACTACCTACATGATTTTTATATTTTTCTTAAATGAAGTACCACAATTTCCGGGAATCTTCTATGTAATAGGGAAACCAATAGAAATAAGATTTCCACATTTCTGCATTTGATAATCTCACATATATTTCTTCAGTTGTTGCAAGATTTAATTCTTTAATCGTCCAATTTAATCTTCCACTTAGAATTAACAATTACCCAATTTATTTGTGAAATTTAGTTATATCAAATGGCAGGCGTTTTGATGGTTATCAGTAGCCCTTTAGTTGACTTCAGGCTTCACTGAGGGGAAGGACCGTCAATGTGAAAAAGTCGAGAGGAGGGGGAACAGAAGAGTGCTTCAAAGATGATGTAAAAGAGACAGACACAAAGGTAGAAAAAAGGTGAGGTGAGTTCGGTTGAAGTAGTCGAATATGACATACAGTGGGAGTGATGGCAGTTTGAAGTGAGAAGTCAACTGCCAGTTTATAGACATTTTTGCCGCATGAGTATACTCTGCCCAGGGTACACCGCGTAAAGGTAAATCTATCGTGCACCCCTTATTTGTTTAAAATAAATGCTGGAGTCTTGTATTTAATCTCATTTTGTTAAAATGCAAGAAAGTGTATATTAAAAATAATTTTTTTAAAAAAATATCATATGGCCCTTACATTATTTTTACTAAGTATATCAAATTATAATCAGTAATTTTTTACATATTATATCTACTTTAAGCCCTCATATGTGAAATAGATAATTGATGTCATCTTTAAAATTAACTTATTGAAAGTGCTATTAATAAGCTAAGCGTAAATCGACTGATTTATAATTTAATACTTCTCATTTTATGCAATAAGCAGGGGTGTGAGGAACACAACTATTCCATGACATAAGAAGAGGAGCACATCATGTCTAGAAGCGAATGAGTTCACAATTTCAGTTACTTCTCGACCAATCAATGACTAAGGTCATTACGTGGTTTTCATGCCCGAATGTGTATATAATGACTAAGCTGGCTGTCAACCGAACACATGAACAAAAAACACAACCCAGGAGATACCCTCAGAAGACAAGGCACGACCGCTAACATCACCTGAACAAAACAGCCCACACCACACGTCTGTTTCCTCCATAGCTTTGCCGTATCTTAGGTAATCCTGAAAGCCTTTACAAGCTAGGAGAACTTGCCAAAGTGATTACTGAGCATTTTTCAAGGCTTATTAGTATAGCGATGCGCTACAAAGGAGTGTGACCTTTAGACAAATTAGTTAGATAAAGCGTTACTTGTCAATCATGCTTGATAAAGAAATGAGAAAGCATCAAAAAGATTCAAATGATAATGAATTTTTCATTTAGACAAAATTACAAATTTCCAATTTTCACAAATTCCTCGCATAACCAGTCCGCAAATTTTTGAGTGATATTCCATACTTCCTGGGGTTCTGCTTCTTTCGGTTCCACTAAATTCGTGAGGCGGTTTCTGTATTTCGGCAGCTACTGCTGCTCCTTTTGGTCGGTCTCGTAGGCGCAGCTGAGGAGGTGCTAGTGGTAAAAATTTGAGTATCCTCAGTTAGAGGATCATCAGAGTCGATGAGGGTTGGGCAGAAGAGTAGGTCGGCACTTTGATTATTTGCCGTTGATTGTGGTTTGTGGAGAATGGAACGAGGCTGGTGTGTTCGGGATGCATAGACGTCGCGATGTCTTCGACTACTGGTGTGGAAATATTGTTTCTCTACCATCCCTTGTCTCTTGGAACCTAAAATATAAAATCCACCATTAATAAAGCCCTCCATTCTTCAAAGAGGAACACATTATGCTGCATTAGCGCTCACTTTGTTAACTTATATTATCAATTTTGAACATAATAACTTTTGTTTTGATCCCAACACTATCAGAGAGATCTTAAAACCTCACATTTGTGAAAAAAACTGTGGTGGAACTTGTGTACATTTTTTAAGAAGTTGCAAGAGGAATGGGCTTTACTACTAACTCCTTTGAATTATTTGGCGAAGAAGAAAGTTTGGCACTATTTACAACCAGTTGCATTCATAATAAGGATAATTCTTTCATTTATATGCTGTGTTATATACACCAAAACATCATAAACACGAGTAGTTTAATTTTTGTAAAGATAATAATTATCGTCACTCTGTTGACCTCCCGCCCCCTCCACCCCCCACTCCACCCCCCACAGTCTATGAGAGCTTGATTTTAGTAAATTGCCATTTTGTGGTAAATATCTCCACTAACGGCTGGTGAAGGCTGCTAAGAGCGTAAGTAGCAACAGCCGGAGAAAAAGCCTATTCGCAGAAATCATTCAAGTGAAGCGGTAAGTTGAGTATTTTGTGTCTCGGGAGACGTGTTTGGGAGGGCGCCACACTTCATCACTTGCACTTTCCCCTTTAACTAAAATTTGCCCATTTTCTTGCACGATGTAAAATATGCTCTTCCATAGGCTCTTATAAATCCCATCTATCTGCTAATTGGTAATTTGATTAATCACTTTGGATATTTGGGGACAATATAAGTAAAGGATAGGAGAAGCAGCCAAATTCCCATCCAAACTTTTGAACAATTAGCATTTTTCAGACCAAGATATCCATTCAGCGAGGATTCCTACTTAGATGTAGTATGTACAAACGCTCTCAAGAGAATTGAAAGTTCAAATTTCAAAGGCTACCAAGCCGACTTTTTCATACTGAAAGACTTGGGCAATTTGGAGACAAGTTCATGTTGAATTTGGGCCGGGAAATATGAGGTTTACTAGTGATGTCGTGCATTTTCTTGTCTTCATTCTCTTTTCTTAATTTTAAAAAATGCTTAGCAACTTCAATTTTTTTTAGATAAACAAGGGTTAGAACTCCTCTCACATCTATACCCCAAACCACCAATCATAATTCTTCCTTTATTATTAAAAAATTTAAACCATTCGTTCTTATTTCATTCACTGATTGAGTTGTGAAACATAATTTTTTAGAAATAAAGGAAGGTTTAATCGATTAGTTTAAATTATTGGGAAGAATATTTTATTGAAAAATATTTTCTAATTCATTTCTACGATTTAGTAAATCGAATTAAGTAGAAAACTAAGAGTATTTTTGCCTAAATTACACATAACTTTCTCTTCCACTTCATTTTGTGCTGCCACGAAGCCAGTGTTTGCCTTTTCACCTCTAGATAATGTGAACAGGGAGCGGAATATCAAAGAATTTCATTTGCCGAATCACCTGGTGCAAAAAATCACCGTAAAACATACCTTTTGAGAGAAAAAATAAGTAAATAAATTCCTTCGTATCCATCAATCATAGCGAATACTCTTTTTCCACGGCGTCATCAAGTTGTAAACACCTTTGATTTCTACCTCGCCTCCTACGATATGCATAGAAGTGTCTGATGTGCGTTTAATACCCGATTTCTGACGTCTTTCAGGGTTTCTTAAAATGTGCTTCTAAAGCTATTGGAATAAGACCGCTTTTCCTATAGTTAGTGGTGATAGAGGAAGACAAACACACATCAAGGCCAACTGATCAATACCGATTAGAGTTCATTCATTTGAGTATCAGTAGAAATTAAAAGTAACCCCTTTTAAACACCCCCAAATTTTGAATTCTTGCGATGTTATGAAGCTTGGAAGTCAATTTCCAAAGTTCAAAGTTGGTAGTGGAGCACGTTCTGATCGATACTTAGATAGTCAAATTAATCTCAAGACCACAAATTTTACAACGGATTCCTAAAAGATTTAAGAACGGTTGCTTTATTAATGATGTAGTCTCCAGTTCGGTTCCAGGTGCTAGCTTTCTTCCAGCATCAGACAATTTGGAGTTGAATCATGAAATATACAACCACAAAGGTGTAGAAAATGCAAATCTCAATACTGTGAAAGCAGTCCAGTCTTTAAACTATCCCACAATCGAAATGAAGTTCACTTGAGTGCCTAAGATGTTGAGGACAATGAGTTGGTAAGTGAAACTCGAGCCCCAGAAATATCCTCACTTTTCAAGGAAGACATCTTTATATTTCAGTTAACCCCTCCCCTCATTTGCTCACTCTGCTATTTAAAGCTACTCCACTCCGTTAATGGATCATTTCTATTTACAAAAATGAATCTACTGTAAAGACGCTTAAGCGTGAATTGGAATTCAAATATACCATCACCTTTTGAGCCTTTTTATCCCAATTCCCCAACATATGAGAATTTTTACAATATCTCCGTTTTAGGGCTCAAAAATATGCCAAATAGTATGCCAGAACATTGAAATCATACGTCTTTTATAGATTTTAAATTTTTAATGCCATACTTTGGTAAAAAATATTTGTAAATTATTTGCTTAAATCATGAAAACAGGCATAATAAAGTTCGTTTGTTAATAGGTGCGTTAATTAATGCCCCAAACAGCCTGGTATAGGTTTGGCATAACACTGGTAGATTAAAGTGAGCGATAATATCAGCAACATTTTAATGAGATCTGAATGCATATCACCATGGTAAATTTATAAAATATAAATATATAATCAATCTGCAAAAAAATAAACACTCTACAGTGCTTTAAAAGGCTGAAAAAACTTTATTTTAACTTTTTTATTATATATGGAACATGGCACCAAGGAGAAAATATTTCAAAGTTATTTTTTAAGTGAAATTTTGAATTTTATAATATACGCAATGTAGACTTGCTAATTTTATTACCATTATTACTTAAATTATAATAATTAATAAAATTATTTTATTACCGTTCGGGTGAAAGTAGCGACCTCGGAGGAATTTAAGACTCATTTTTTCTTCAGTTCCCCTCCCCCCCCCGCCTCCCGCCCCCCGCCCCCCGCCCCCAACAAAAAACATGTGTCCGAACTGAATTTGGGATACCGATGTACAGCAGCTGTTTAGTTCCCAATCCGAATAAACAAAATCGAACATTTCAACAAATTCAGCCTTTTTATCTCGTTATTTCTCTACGTTGCTACTCCCGTGTGGTCAAATTAGGCAATAAGATGATTTCAAAGTCGAAGGGTTTTTGTTCTAGCGATGCAAACATTTTTGAGAAGCTTTCCATGCTCAGAATTTCTGGTCTGATATATCTACCCAACACCTTTAGGTCAATTTGCATTGCTCTCAATTAAATCACCTAAAATTTACCATAAATGATTCTGATTTGTTTTTTTTTCACATTTTTTGCAACAAGATTGATTTGAAAATCATATTTTTTAATATTTAAATGAAATATCATTCGTTCATAATCTATCTTACTCTTACTAAGTGCACGCAGATATCAATAGCAAATACAGTAGATTTAATCTAAGAGCTCATAAATAGTCAAATAAAAGCACAAATAAAAGTAATGGCTTTGGTATTGTTGCAGAAACTCAAAAAAATAGAAGGTGATGATGACGATCATTTTGAAATTAGGACAGGGGTGATTAATGAGATTATTTAAACTTCCATAAAAAAATTATTGAAAACAAGAATTGGGAAGGAATAGATGCGATTAATGTCTATAATGCTCAGACTAATTTATTAAAAGGTTCACATGAATGACAAAACAAATTATTGGGGGGGGGGGAATCATTATTGTTAGCTCTCCTTTTTACTTTTTGAAGGGTCATTCAGGCATAATTTTATATCAGAATAATTTGAAAAAGCTAAATTCAACGGATCTAAATTGTATTTTTCAACGTAAAGCTGTTGACTCCCCAGGTTAAAAGTCCTTGTGTAATTCAATATATTGGAAACAATTAATTATCAGCCGAATTAGAGATTTGATTCGTTTACACAGATCATTTATTTTATTATTATTATTATTATTAATCACGATTTTGCTTAAAACCGGCTAAAATTTAATCATAAGGAAACTTTTGAATGACAGAAACGCCGAATAAGTCCAATAAGGTAGTAAAAGCGGAAATGGGAAGACAGGAGTAGGGTTTAAAGCATTCTTCCTCTCGAATTTCCTAAATTTATCCCCTAGGTGCACGGGTGAGGTTATATCGAGAATATTCAGTGTCTGTTAGCCAATTGACCTATACCCCTGTTTGGTTGGTCATTTGCTCATTTCTTGTTATTGGCGAAAGTAGGAAGTTAAAACTATCAGCAACTGTTCATTCAAACCACATGACTTTCTAGTTACTTACGTAAACGAAATATTTGGCCATTACAGAGCAGAATTAATGTCTATGCAGTGAAAAATGCTGATTATAAGGCGGTCAACTCATGCGAATCTATTTGTTTTTAAAAGTCCCCTTACTGTATACTCTGATTACTTCAACACGACACCCTGGGCAACGTATACTCTATTGACCGGCAGTTAACTTCACACTTCAAAATACCATGACCCCACTGTGTGCCACATTCCTCCACATCCAGAGTACTCACTTTACCTTTTTCTACCTTTGCGTCTTAGTCTCTTTCACATCTTTGAAACACTCTTCTGTCCCCACCCCCCAATCTCGAATTTTTTCATTTTGATGTTCCTTCCCCTCCGTGAAGCCTGAAGTCAACTAAAGGGCTAATGATAACTATCAAAATGCCTACCATTTGATATAAATAAATAAACTTCAACACGACAAGTACTTCAAATACAAAAGAATTAAAATAAATTTGTTAACTTAATCATCTATTGCATAATAATATTGACTAATATTATGGGATCTCATCAAAAGTCAATTAGTGATCCGCTTTAAAAGTCGACCCAGAAATTTATCCAACACCCTTAGCTTAATTTGATGTTAATAAGGTGCTTTAAAATATGAAGTTTTATGTTCTTGTATTAAATCAAATAGGGAAAAAAACAACAAAGAC